ACAGATTCCATTTGCATCCACATAAACTAACAGTTATCTACCCAGGGACAAGCAGAGGAAAAAAAGTCACAGCAACAGGAAGTGGGGACAGGATCCAATGGCTTTCCAGTGACAGTAACATRTTGGCATCACATCTTGTGACCTACCAATCTCCATTTGCTTAGTGGTTTTTTGCTCCATGTCTCCTGACAAGGACCAGAAATTGGTTTTTCTTGAGCATGAATAGCAAATGCAGCTTTAACACAGTCAAATACAGCAAAAAAATCCAGCCGACATACTGCAGGCTCTTGGTGCCTTGCAATGTATAGTTTCAAATAAAGTAGAGCTTGTAGGAAAACCCTGTAAGTAAAAATGGAGAGGAACCCWAGCACATCTTAAATCCCAGTGCTTCAACTTCAATCACCAGTGAGTGAGTGACATGAGACTTTTTTGTGGACTGCAGCCTGACACAATTACACAACACTAAAAGGACTTCTAGGCATTGTACAGGCAGAGAAACAAGCAACGGGGCACAGATGCCAGAAGGATGCTGTAAAACAGGTAACAGCTACCACACCCAATGCATTAACCTACTAAATATTGGTCAGTGAAAGCTTCCAGGCTCTGCAGACATAGAATAACAAGACTGAAAAGCAAAAMTGTCCCACTGTTGCTAGCCACAAACTAGACAGTTTAGGTACTGGACTGCTGGCCCACTATTTACCCAGGAAAGCCTCTGGGATTAGGGAGCTGCAGATACACAAACCAGACAGTTTACAGCTGGCTCAGGTATGCCTGCAACCAATGGTTACAGCCCAGTTAACGCTGTTAAACCAGTCGGAAGGAGACTCAGAGCTAAGCAAGCAGCTCAGAGAATTTAAGAAGTATTCTTTAAGTTACTCCCCTGCTGCTGTTTGTGCCTTAAGTCGCCTGCATACTGCATACATAATTTTTGTCCTGCTCTCAAACTGGAGACAGAAAGCAGCAACACTTGATTTTGGCCAAATAAAGCTTATGCCTGGCCACATTTGAAGGCTACAACTTTTGTTTTACTTGCTTGGTTTCTCCTTTGAATTTCAACAAGACAAAAATATAACTAATTTATTTTCTAGAAATGCTGTAAGRACTGAACTGTATTGTAACAATATTTGCATTTCTTTCCAGAGTGCATGTAAACATSTTTTTATCAGTTGGATTTCAGTCAGTTTTGGCCAGTGCTCCAAGTCTTTTGAAATCAATGAACTTCATAAAAAATATGTTAGCACATTTATTATACCCATTTACTCAAAAAACCAAACTCTGTCATCACCAGTGGAGGCTGAATAAAACTAGATGAAGAAACAGCCTGAATTATTTCTTACTTCAGATGAAAACCCAGACCTCATCTTAGGGTCAAGGTCAAAAGGAAGAGCTGGGTRTAAATGCAGAAAGAGACAGACGGCTTTTAATTATACAGTAGTTGTTASGAGACATTTAGTACTTTAGAAAGGTTTATCCACCTGTTCCAATTTATCCCAAGTGCTYACAATCCATGATGAATGCCAAAACAAAAAAAAAAAATCACTGCCGTAAGGATGCCTAATTCCATGTCATACACCTATTTCTGAACATACCAGCCATAAAAAATACTCATTTTCTGTCGACCAAGAAAACTTTGTAACCATTGCTATTATTCTTATTGGAAAAAATGTAATGTGTAACTGTGCCAGCAGACTGGACAGTTTGTGATAAAGTATATATAGAAAGTAACAAATCTTAAAAATACCAGCAGCCTTTAAAGACCACACAACCATTATGGTGTTGCACAGAATGACAGACATTCTTGCTACTGAAAGCTTGAGCTTTTCAAAAGCACTGCTTATTCTAACTTGTAGATGTTGAACTAAACTTCTCCCACTCCTGAAGTGTAATTTTTCACTTTTGCAAGGTTCGAAGTGAAGAGTTCTAAGAGCTTGATACTGAAGTCAATGACGTTTACAAGTCTCCCAAACTTATGGAGTATTTTACTAATCCCAAAGTCTTGCACTAGAATAGTGCAGGGAACTCTTAACTTCACGTTACATCATTGCACCAAGGAAACACAACAGAAGTTTCCTAACTGCTTCAAAGTTTCCACAGCTTATTAGCCAGTCTTACAAAGACAGACAATATTCTCCACTTGTCTTGAGGAAAGGTGATTTTCCTCCATACGAAGGAGAAGATTATGATATCATAAAAACAAAAGCAACAGGTATCACTACAGATCAAATTAGTACCCTCAGACTTGTGCCTGGATAGATGTGATCTTACAAATCAAGCTGGCWGACTAAAAGCATAGAAAGACGTTTACTGCATAAACACACTAATCCTTGTATGATGGCAGCCCTTTTCTGCTTGCTTCAGGGGTGGCCCCAGTCTTCCAGTTTCACAAGCCATTTGATAAAATCTCCTTGCGGCAAAGAGCTGTAAGATTTAAACAGATGAAAAGACAGGTAGCTTGTGCTCATRGAGGCAGGGACAGCAGCTCTTTTGTACTCCTTTAGTATCTCTTTTATCCACTGTGGGACAAGGCTGGGATGGAGACCGGCAATACAAACTTCAGCGGCTTGTGCTGGCTCCTCCCCCTCACAGCCACCACCCCAACTTCTCATAATCCTAATGCCAGTAACATGGAACAATCTCAGCCAGAGAGATGCGCTTGAGCTCCTCCACAGACACAACTTGGCCACATCTGCACTGTAATCACATGGACATTCAACACACACTGTGAAATTTTGGCAGCATTGTACTTAATGGCCCAATTCTTATTGATTAAAGAGCCAGACTATCACCTATAGTACTTTTACCTCCTCCTGAGGCTTTTAAGAGCCACAAATAAGGTTAAAGCAATATAGTACTCAGTGGTTTTAATAGAAGGCCTCCTCTGTTAAATAACCACCAAAAATAGTTGCTTAAGATGGGCTATACTGAATCGTAAATGAGAGAAGGTTGCTGAGGACTTTAAAAAAAATATTTTTCTTTTGTTTGTTTGTTTGTTGTTCTTTATTTCAGCCACAATCCTTCTCAAAGAAGGAGACCATAGAACATTTTTTTGGYTTGCCAAAATGGCGCTCTGGCAGCCTTTCCTCCAGCTTGAGCACCCTGTGCTTTGGAATGAGAATTAAAAATTTATGAGAGATTGTGAGGGAGGAGAAATGAACCTCAGGAAGCCTGAGCTACAAGCCTTTGAGAGGAACATACAGATAACAATGAGGTTTCCACATATTTAATAGAAGCTTTATGATTTCAGAGGCTAAAAGCTTMAAAAACTGTGTCTCACTGAGCATATTCTCTTCCCTCACGATTCCCATCAATTATATGGGCATATAATGTCTTCAGAAAACAAATGATCGTGCTTCCTGCAAGSCCAGACCTACAGGTAAAGCCAGGGTTACCAGCAAACACCTTCATAGCAAACGCTGCTGCTCACTGGGGTGGACGTAGAAGGAAGCGTCTCTCAGCAKTCCCGTGATGCCAGACAGACCACCAAGCCAAATACAGAGTACACAAACCTAATCAAAACACTCCTACAGTTCCTTACCTGACCCATTATAAAACCTCCAAATGAAACAGGATCCCATTGGCAAAAGGGATCCCATCTTTCACTACTTGACCCCGAATTCGTTACAAGACTAGATCCACCCTTTGTCTTATGTGAGGCAGGAGTCCCATTGAAAACAAATGTTGTAGCACATGATCTTATTACCAAAGATCAAACCACACATCTGCAGCTATGGTGCCATGTTGCACCTGAGCGGCTGATTTTGCCACAGGTAGTTTTGTGTCTAATTTCTGAATGAATGCAATCCTGTAGAAACAATACTGTTACCAAAAGAGAGACAAACAATTTTTMAAAGTACAATCACTCTCAGTAGTCCCATACTCATATATAACAATAATGAATCCCAAATCCCAGAATCACCTGGAATGCCAAACAGTTTTCAAAGAAAGCTGCAAGGAGAAGAGATCAACTCTTTAGTATTGTTTAATAACTTTTGCAYGATGCTACGAATTTGTTAGACTATAGTGTCCAAGTTTCCGATTATTCACAGAATTGAGCTAATTCAAGCACACAATTTTGATAACCTAATGTGCATATATAAAAGGATCCATCACGCAACCAAAATAGGAATGGAGATGCATAATTGATCATTAAGCCTAGAGYTTGAATGTGAGTAGTTCTACAGCATGAGTATTTATAAAGCCAAWTGTGTACCTGTACTTTGGCAAGACCAGTGAGATGTGAATGGTTAATACATATGCAAATATATTACCATCTGTATTTCATAGCAAGAGCTTGGGTTTGCAAGACAATCTGATAACCTATAGAAAACCCAGCAAATTAAAAAATAAGACCACTYAGTACAAGTTTTGGTTAATACTGTATGTACAAGCTGCACCAAAAAAACCMGCAAATAATCATACAGCAAGTATTTACCAGTAGAGATTTTATTTCTTTTCAAAATAATGGGGTTTATTTAGATTCAAAATACTTTATTAATTACCTAAAACAAATGTACACTTTGTTRGAACTTCTGGTAAGTGCTGATCTTGAGTTCTGAAAATGTGTGACAGAATACAAGAAAATATAAAATTGGGTTAGCAAAATACAATAACGGAGCTTTACAAGAGGAACACACATTCTGTATTATTTTGACTAAGTCTATCAGGTAAACATGCTGTAACAGCTTTCCACTTAGAATGCGTGCCTATAAATTTAATCTGCAACCTGAATCCCCATCTTCTGATCAACTAGGTCAAAAAAAAAAAAAATAAGGTCCATCTCAAGATGTGTTTCTTCATTGAACATATATTCCCTTTTTTCCATAAGGTATTCATTGTAAATTTTAATAGATCACTATATATGATAAAATTGCAATAAAACATTCTCTTATTATTCATGATTCAACTAAATTTGTAGCCATATCATACATATTTTTATGCAAACAGTTAAGTATTTAATAAAAAAATATTTATTGCATCTAGTGAAAAAAACTTTGATGGTTCTTACAAAAAAAAAMCAAAAGACTTGCTGCTGGCTACTTGCTAAACAATCCCTTCCCTGCGGCTTGCTTTTTCAAGAACTACAAAGAAACTCTGGAGGTCATTGTGATCTAGACAACCAAAGMTGATTTGTCTGTATGGGAGCAGGATGCACAGTACTTGATTAAACCCACAAACTTCTCAAACGAGCTATAAGGATAAAAAAAAGTGGTTTGTTATTGTGTCCATTTCCAAAGGACAGCTCACAAGCTTTCCTCCTCACGTAAAAACTGGAACACAGCTGAGAAGTCTTTCAGGGCATAGCCTTTGGCACACATCATCCTGTAGATCTGATGTGCCTGGGAGCCCAAAGGAACTGGTGTCTTCGTGTTGGTGGCAGAGATCTGKGCCAAGCCAAGATCCTGTGGGGGAAGAGAAGAGGGATGAAGAATGGAAGGAAAGCAAAAGAGAAAAAGTCAGGGGAGAAACAAGGAYATAAACAACCATGTGCATATTATAGGTTATGTGGCTTCCACTGTAACAAGAACTCTATTGTCAACATGCACAATACTCCAGCCTTAAAACTTCAGACCTGGAAGAAGTAGGTTTTGGTAGCTTTTATTTTTTAGAACAGTAATTCAATGTTATTCAACAAAAAAACCTCAAACTTTGCCAGGCAGACAACACCTTAAGAACAGGAGGGATTTTAAGATTCTAGAGCACTATATAACCTAGTAGCAAGACTCAGACTCTTTTTCCCCATTGATTATGTTATCTCCAATAAGAAAATCCCCCTGGCTATTCACTGAAGCATTTCACAGAGGTTCTAAGAGCATAATTTAGTTCTTTGGGCAAGAGGACTTCATAAACGCTTTAAAAATCAAGCAGAAGGAATTTCAAGAACAAGAAAATTGAAGCCTCTCAGGAAACACATATTTACTATAATGTAACCAGTAGGAAAGGCATAGGCCACTTCATGAATATAACTGGTTTGCTGCCTAATTGGAAGGATGTATTAGAGAATTCCTTAGGGAGCAGTCCYGGGTCTGCTACAACTCATATTTCTTTAGTGACTTTTTCTTTAATGACTTTTGAAAATAAAGGCATATAGAGAATAGTTCCACTGTGTTTTTAAATACTATATTTGGGTCAAAAAATGGGAGGGGAAGTTCAAAGAGGATGAATTTGAAACATGTTCTCCAAGAGTCCTTGGTCAACTACATTTATAATCCAAAATAAATCGGACAGAATCCAAAGTACCAGGTACTGTGACTAACCATAGTTATCCAGAAATAGTCAGCTGCCAGCTAGGCTGGAGGACGTCTTGAAATCTAAGCTGAATCAGACATAAAACAACTCAAAGAGTGAAGCGCTAATAAAGGCCTGGATATACAGAAAAAGATCTCTTGACTAAGTAGGAAAGTAATGCCTGAACTCAAGGTTACCTTTCAAGTCTTGTTCATGAAAATAGTGTTTGAGGTCCATATTTCAAGGAAGTTGCCGAAGGGTAATTCTCAAGTGTTAGTGGGAAATGCCTAGATTTMCTGYCCAYCCRGAACTATGGTGGTTTATAGAAYTGTSTGATTGATTTAYTCCTATTTTTCAGTGGTTTGGGMTGGAAGGGAWCTTAAAGATCACCTAGYTCCAAGCCCCCTGACCATGGGCAGGGACATYTTCTACTTGACCAGGTKGCTCAAAGYCCCATCCAACCTGGCCTTGAAYACTTCCAGCTATGGAGCATCCACAATTTCTGTGGGCAACCTGTTTCAGCGCCTCATCATCCTCACAGTAAAGAATTTCTKTCTAATATCTCATYTAARTCTACCCWTTTTCAGTTTGAAGYCATTRCCCCTTATCYTGTCACTAYATGTCCTTGCCAGGAGTCTGTCTCCAGGTCTCTTGCAGGTTTCCTGTRAGTCTTGGAAGGTGCTGTAAGGTCTTCCCAGTGCCTCCTCCAGGATGAACAACCCCAATCTCTCAGCCTATCTTCATAGGCAAGATGACCAAGCCCTCTGACAATCTTCATCACCTTCTTCTTCACTAAATCCAGCAGGTCCATGGCCTCCATATGGTCCATGGCCTTCATATGCTGGGGACTCCAGAACAGGACACAGCACTCCACATGGGGTCTCATGAGAGCAGAGCAGAGGGGGAGAATCACCTTCCTTGACTTGCACGTCAAGGATGAATCCTAGGATGTGGCTGGATTTCTGGGCTACATGTGCACATTGCCAGGTCACACTGAACTTCTGGTCCACCCACACCCCCAAGTCTTTCTCCCCAGGGCCGCTCTCAATCTTTGCCCAGTCCATATTTCTGCTTGGGATTGCTCCAACCCAAGTGTAGCACCTTGCACTTGGCCTTGCTGAACTTCATGAGGTTTGCAAGGGGCCACCTCTCACAGACGTTGAAGTCATTGAGTACCTCAGCCTTCTCCAAATCCTGGGCAAACAGGTCCTATCCCTATATAAGGTCCTGTACCTATTGAAGCTTTTCTTGTTGCCCTTCAAGTATCTGGCCAGGTTTAACTCTATCAGAGCTTTAGCATTCCTAACCTGATTCCTGGCTGCTTGGACAATCTGCCTGGACAATTCCTTCCAGCCTACCTCTCCTTGTTTCCAGCCTCTGTAGGCTTCCTTTTTGTGACTGAATTTGTCCAGAAACTCCTTGTTCATYAGCACAGGCCTCCTGATGGTTTTGCCTGATTTCCTCCTTGCTGGGATGCATCGCTCCTGAGCTTGGAGAAGGTKGTCCTTGAATGATAACCTGCTCTGTTGTGCTCCTCTTCCCTCCAGGGCCATATCATGGTACTGTAACAAGCAGATCCTTGAAGAGGCTGAAGGTGGCTCTCCTGAAGCCCAGGGCTGTGAGCTTGCTGTGCACCCTCCTTGCTGYCCCAAGGATCTCAAACTAYACTGCTTCATTGTCACTGCAGCCAAGGCTGCTYTTGAGATTCACATTCMCCACCAGCCCCTCCTTGCTGATGCCCCTACGWAAAACCCCTCCTTGTTGGCTCCTCTATCATTTGGAGAAGGACATTCTCACCAACACATTCTAAGAACTTCCTAGATTGCTTGTGCCCTGCTGTGTTGCCTCTCCAGCAGATCTCAGTGTGGCTGAAGTCCTCCATGGGGGTCAGGGCTTGTGGATATCTAATGGCTCCTATTTGTCTATACTGGTCTCATCTGCTCATCTTCCTGGTCAGATGGCCTGTAGCAGATCCCCAATATAATGACACCTCTCTCTGCCCTCCCTTTAATCCTGACCCATAAGCTCTCAGTCAGCTCCTCATCCATCCCCAGGCAACACATCCCTTATCCATGCACTCCAGCTGGTCACTGACATGGAGCCTGTATCCTTCCACTCCAACACCCACCCAGTCAGAGAAGTCATCCCACCCTGTCTCTGTGACGCCAGTAAGATCACAGTCCTGCAGGCATGCACACACAGCATTTGCATAGRGTCATTTAAACTGGGCCCTGATGAAGCCGACTTTGGGGCTGGAATGGCTGTAATTCCTTTGTGTTGCTCTTCARTGCTCTGGCATCAAACTGGATGGAGTGGGATGAATGCAGGTTCCTCCTCTCCCAGTAACTTTAGCTTAAAGCCCTATTCACAACAACTCTGCAAACCTGCAAACRAAGACACTCTTCCCCTACTCTGACAGATGGTTCCCATCTTTGATACAGAAGAACTGAGAGAGAGAGTACTGCTGAGAGCACCTTTGACTTCTCAGGGATGACTTACAAGACAGGTCTTTACTTTCTGTGTGTCTGGATTTGAATTAGCACAAGGAAATTCAAGATCTTACTCTACTCTCTAAATGTCACTTCGATCTGTAAATCGGCTCTATAAAGGTCATTCTGATACAAATCAGAATTATAGTTACTTTTCCTATTACCCTCGAATGACTTCAAGATCTAGGAAAATGGGAAAAACATACMCATCAGATGTCACAGGATCCAAAACAGTTTTCACCTGCATCAGGGCAGATAATTTCTTCTTGTCTAGCAACTCTGTTGAAAGACTGATGAGCTGACAAATCTAGGAACACTTACTYTAACCTTGCACACAGTAAGATATTCCATGACATATAAAAACCCTCTTAGTGAAATCTGTACCTGTATTATTCATTTTATTCAAGATAGCTTAACTCATGTAATGGAATATTAGAATGGCAAAATCATCTAACTCCARCTAATGGAAGTGCTTGGTATGGGTAGTGGTGACTGATCTATTTCTCTCTGAAGGGACATTCACAGAAACAAATCCCTGAAAATCCTGAATGAACTGCTAGCACAAATACAATTTCATAAATGTCCTGGTTTTGGCCAAGGACAGGGTTAATTTTTTGCAGTAGCTGTGATAGGGTGAAGCCTTGCACCATGTGGGCATGGCCAAAATCTCAGTGTTTGATACCCACCTATGGCATTGCTGGGGTGGGGAAAGGGACTTGATTCCTGGGTGAAAGGCTGCTCCATTCTGGTCATGGAAAAGGGTGGTAGGAAAGTGTGGCAAAGTGTCCACCACTGTTTTTCATTGTCCTGGGCTTGGTGAGCATTTTTCGTGCAAATGACTCTCTCTTTGCACACTTTTGTTATTAATATTGTTGCTCTTACTGGTCATGTTGTTATCTCATGGCTGCTTCCAGTAAATKGTTCTTATTTCAACCTGTGATCTCTGCCTCTTGTGGCTCTGACACAAGGGGGAGGGGAGTAACTTGAGGGTGGGTTTTTTTTGGGTTTGTTTTTTTTTGTTTTGTTTTATTTTGTTTTTTCTTTTTTTTGTGGGAGTACTAAATTGGGGAATAGCATTCCGAAACCAAGGCAACAAAGTAGCTCTGCTCACTTCAATAATGAAACTCGGGCCCCAAGATGATGGAAACATTCAATGGCATTTCAATCGTTAAATGGACAAGGACGTTTAACTGAAGTGCAGGAACATTGTTTTGCTTTTTTAAAACTCCATTCTATAAATTAGAGCTTTGAAGGAAAAAGACCTCAGAAAATGCAAGTAAAGCTCATCCTGAACTTCAGATTGTGAAGAATTTTTTACATTTTCACTTGAGGTTGGAGATTCCTCAAGTGTAAGAGTACAAAACAGCTCTGAAATAAATTTCCCTCTATTGACGTATCTTGAAAAGTAAAAATAAGCCACAGTTTATGGCTTCTCTCATACTCTTTGGAACTGACAGCATCTTCCAGATCCATCAGTGCAGTGAATATTCTAACACTTTTCCTCAGCTTGGAATAGGGAAATAGATTCTCTTTCACAATTTGCTTCCACTTCGGAATTATCGGGTTGCTTACATTTATTCTGCAGTTGATGTAAATGAAACTGCCATTTGGAATAAAGCTCAAAGGCTGTCTTGACATGACTCGAGAGGTGCACCATATAAATCTAGCTCTTCTCAGGATCCGTGGTTGACATTTAATTAGCAACTGTGTTGTCAATGAAATACAGAACTTCTGGCCTGCCAATGCCTTGGACACAAAGATGGCATGGGCAACTAAACTATTTTTTAAAACGCAAAATCTTAAGAGCAGGTTTCACATTAAGTTAACTAAATTCTGTGTTTTGGTATCAAATTTCAAAATCAAAGAGCTTTCCAGAGGTGTCTGGCAAATTTTTCTGACTCAAACACTTAAAATAAGGAACCTCTAGCTTTGAGAGATCCATTGCTGACAAAGTATTTTTAAGAAAGCCTCTGACTTCCACCATTTCTGATATGTGAGCAGGAACTTGAAGTTTAGTAATTGTGTTTAGTGACAGTTACTGAGGCACTCCTAGGAATTTTCACTGTGGAATATTTTCTCCCCAGCCTCAGGGTTTTATTTTCCTCTTCCTCCTTTGAATACATCCTTTTTTATTTAAATGGCAAAATCATGCTCTGCATTTCCCTTAAAAACGTCCCCATCTCAATTCACACTGCATAGCATGTCACACACCAGGATGAAATGGATAGTAGCAAAAGTCTTCCCACAAACTAAAAATCAGCATCTTAGAAGGGGTCACCACTGCAACAAAGAATAGCTTGAACATGATCAGCTGTTTTGGCTACTTATTCAAGAAATCTTCCATATGTATACAATTATATGGCGTAGTCCAAGAGGCGTGAGAGGAATTCAATGTCTTTCCTTCTTACTGATGATTCTAGCCTAAAGAAGGCACTCTTGAGGACTGTCAGGAGAGGCAAGTCAGAAGAGGTGAMCAGCAATTACAAATCTCTCTGAGGAACTCCCTCTTGGTTACTTCTCATTGATGCTTTATAACCAAAAGCAGGCAGTTTCAACAGGCAAGAGCCAGGCTGCTAYTCCTTCAGTTAAAGAAAGATCTTGCAGGGCAGCTTCCAGGGGAGATGAAAGTCTCTCTTAGAAGCAGACCAAAGGAAAAAATCCAACCCTTTAGAAAGAAACATAAAAGGGAGGCAACAAAATGTGTGCCCCTATCACATTCATACTGTGGGGTTATTCTGGAAAAGATTAAGAGCTGTCAATCATGAGAACAGAGATTGCAGTGTGAAACATCTCTGTTTCAGAATTGATTCTGAAAACAGCACATAAGATGGACACAAGCTTTGAGGCAGGGCCAAGATCAGGTTACTCATCTCAAATCAATAGCCCTGGCAAACTCCAAGCAATAACCTAACACTTTTTATAAATATGTAATTTAAACAATACTTCATTGTCCCCAATGTTCAATGACATGAACACAATGTAAAATATGCTACTTTTCATATTTTAACACATCCCTCAAATAAATTAAAGTTCCTGGTCATTGGTCCATAAAAATAAAATGTGTCAGGTCAGCTGTTGAGGGATTGAGAGTCATGCTGCATTAGCAATGTCTTTTGGTGCTACCACATGCCAAACACTCTGGACCCACTCTGAAGAGAATTTGGCTAATTTCATTGAGTGTGCAAATGCACCAATTGTCCTAAATCAACTGCAACATGACAAGAACAGCATTAGCAAGCAGGTATTATATACAGGAGCTCCAGCACTGTAATGGTARTATCTAATTTTGTTCACCAGCTTTGAGAATGCTGTTTTAGTTTTAAGTGCTACATTTCCAGTGTACATGGAAGAGCTGAAAATTGACAGAATGCCTAACCAGTTAGTAGCACTCAATAAACTGCTATGCATAAAACCTATCCTGTATAAATTCAAATGCCTCCCTCAGGACAGTATCTCCATGAAATGGATATTCAGTGTGAAATTATTTCCTGCACTTAGATGAGACATCTCGTCCAGAGCTGGTTTCATAATTTACCTTAGGCAATCACTGTGCTCAGTGTGGAAGTAGTTCAGGAGTCAGAGTTCTCTAACWCCTTTCTCCAGCTGTGTGTCCTATCAGTGGGATGCAGAGCCCTGACCTCCTTGCCTACTTTCCTTTGGCCTCTAAGAGCTTTGCTTTCCTGACCACAGAGTGACTCAGGACAGAGCTTTTCSTGGAAAAGCCAAGAGCATGGCAGTAAGTGCATTCTCCTGGGATAGGATAACAGTAGATTTTCAACTTCTTMATGCTGAGAAGGACCTAAACCCCAGATCTCCCACTTTGTGGACAAGCAATTTAGATTACTATGTAATTACTCATGAGAAGCCCTTCTGTCACCAGCTAAGACAATTGAGGAGAGCTCACAGAATGGTGCAGATACCTGCAGATCAGCTTGTGGTGGTGTGGGTTGAATTCTGTTTGCTTTCTGCATTCCAAATGGCTTTAGGCAGAAGGACAAGCACACAAGCAATTGGCTTAGCAAGGAAGAGGCTGTTAGAGAGCATGTCCAGTAGCACAGTTAAAGGAATCTGGAAGAGAGTGAGCCCAAAATCTGAGCTGCTTATGCCACAATCAGCACCTAATTAAGTCACCTGGATTTCCCTGAATTCTCTCTTGAAACTTAGGCTCTGAAATTCAAGAGCCACCTAAATGGCTTGCTGAACTCTCACTATACACACAAGTCCATTGGGACTCCTTTATTAAGGCAGAACTCAAAAAGGCCATGCATATAATCTCAGTGAGTGGCTCAGCAGTAACAGTGGCTAGAAAGAAGCTGGAGCTAAGGAAAAGTGCCCTAAACAATTCATTAATTCAGAGCTATAGGAAGAGCTGGATTCCCCTCTATTCATGCCTACATATTRTCCTGTAATCACAAATTTTCACTGAGAAGACCATTAGCTAGAAGCCCAGAGAAAAGCAACTGCAAATGCTTGACATGCAAGTGTTCTGTACCTTAGCCATGAGTGTTGTTCCAAAGCCACCCTGATAATTGTTAGATGASGGTACTCCTTCCATCACTCCAGGAACAGGGTTGTACGTATCGCTTGACCAACAGCGACCTGAGCTCATATTTAGGATTTTGGCCAGCAGCTTTGGGTCAAGGCCTAATCTGTCAAAGGTCAGAGAAGAGAAGTGTTAATGTCAAAATGCACAAGACATGGGTGACTTGTTTTATATCTTAGGGCCCTACCATCATTCCTCTCCCTTTATTATAAGTCATGAAAAATGACAGAGTATTGATATTGGGGGAAGGGATGCTGTATTTTAAATTAAAGAGCATCAATCCACCATTTAAGCAGCAGGTTTTCAGAGCTGTTTTCCTTTTGCACTAAGCAAATCCTCTTCACCCAGCAGTTTYGAAAGTGCAAGCAAAACAAAGGTCCTGAGAACAATAGTTTGTATTTCAATTACTAAAATTCTCTGTTCTGCTGCCTACTAGGTCACATATTTGCTCTTCATATCAAAATCATATTCTCTGAACAAAGCAAAAAATTTACAAGCAAATGTGGCAATGTGAAAGTTGTGTGATCCATTTATATGTGAACACTATTGCATTTCTGAAGTAAACAAGATAACACAATTGATTCTGTTCTAATAATGTGAACAAATATGCTGCACTTCTCAAAAATACTAGTSGAATACATCTGTACACTCTTGTCTTTGCTATTATTAAATCTTCATTATATGCTACTGCTTATGAGGCAAGTCTGCATTTCACTGTGACATATGTTATCTATTCACAAACATATATTATAGTTCTGGGTCAGCTGCTGATAAGGTTACTGATCCCGATAAAACAGAGCTTGTCCAAGTAGAAACGTCATTTGTTCCACCATGGAGACGATGGCACAAGCAGCTGCTCAGTGCAGACCCTGAAAATTCTTCAATATTTTAAGAAATTAACCCTCTTATGAATTCACATTTATGGTGACAATAAGTTGTGAGTCTAATTTTACATCAATTGCATAAATACTAAGGACAATCAGCAGTTTATGTGGCACTGTACAAATGTTCAGCTATGCTCAGGACAAAAGAGAAAGCAAGGGAACTGTCTTCAGTAACAATTCAAGATGAGAGAAGGACATTTTAAAATGGATATATCACAATCTTCTACAAAGTTCTTTTAAAATATAATTCAATGCTCTTTATGTTAGTTCTCACCCCGTAGACTTTTGCAGTTCTCCATAGCCTAACACTGCTTCCAAGCACCACAGCACAAAAGGYTTTAATTTGTAGATGAGAAAAACTYGTTAYCAATGGAACAGTTGATAAAATGCATGTCTATTTATTCCACTAGACATTTTGGATTTGAAAAACTACATTTACGACAGGAGGCCCTATAGCATGGCTCCTACTCCTATAGTAGAACTGTGTGCTGCAAGTCTGCCTTCCTAATGCAAAGCAAGATCATTTTCTGTATCTCAGATACCTTTTYAGCATTACTGCTGTGCACTCTTATTTATGATTTACTGCAGCAGCCCCTGGAATTGAATGGAAAGTCTCTGCTGCTCTGAATGGGATCAGACTTTATTCTCCTCCCTGTTTTTATTCCAACCCTCTGATTCAACTGAATGCTTATAATGACCACTTATTAAAAATAAAACCAATATTTTTCAGCACCAGTAGCTGAAAAATGTTTTCACASTATTTGAATTGTACTTTCATCATGCATAGTGCATCAAAGTCTTAATCATCAAAGTTTTCATCAAGAGCCACTCCAAATAATGGCTTTAATTATTGGAATAAAAAAAAATCTGTAATTGGAGCATTCAAAGCCTGAGCCTTCAAATACACAGAGGTTGGGGGTTTTGTGCCAAAAAAAATCTCTTGGCTTCTCTGTTTCCCTATCATTGCTACATCCAGATSAGTATTTTTAACAATGTAGTGCCTGCCTGCCTGTGGCATATCCAGCTGCATCGAGAGGCCTGCAATTACAGCTGTGAGAATACTGCAAGACAGAGAGCTTATTATTTCAAAACACATATAACCCTCCCAAAGAATGCTCTTCTTACAGTGTTCCAACTACTTCTCTGTGAAAGTATACTTTAAAAGATATGCATTATTATACAGATATGTAAAATACTGTCTTGCACTAGATCTGACATATTTTTCCTCCTGGAAAAGAAAAAGGAAGATAGTGTCAGTTTGTATCCTTGCTTCTTCAAAATTCATTGCTCTTAAACACCATGCAGCTTCTCTTCAGGAGACCTGAACCTATTTTTTTTTTCTCCTTTGCAGCAAGTGTATCATTAATAAGAGCAAGTTAGAAGTGCTTTGCATTTCATCTTTCTGCAGATTCATCCACTGGTGCATATATAACTGACAGTTAAAATTAGACATATATTAAAATCAGTTACTGAAGAAGTCCTCTGTCTTCCACTGTGCCCAAAGCTTGTAATGGTCTGAAACCAGCCAGAATATACAGTAATTGTCATTCAGCAAGAGTCTATCCTAGAAAGTCATGCTTCAGTGGAGAAGACTGAGTTTCCATTTGAAATCAACAAATTAATCCAAGACAGGTATCTGAAAGGGCAAGTTTAATAGGAAGCAGCTACTGGGCTCTCAACCATGATAAAATGTTATTGCTGTTTCCCTGTAAATTGGCTGGGAACATACGATACTCTCTGCATAAGAGCTCCATTGCTGTTCAAGAGATATACTGCTCAAGCTATCAAAATGATGACAGTCTGCCAGTCCCCATAACAACTTGCCATTGGACGTGGCAAGAGCTTGTGCATATGCGTGTGAATTTACAATTACCAAAATGTTCTTCTCCCTTATAAGCAGAAAAGAAGCCCATGTATTAACTGCACTTTTAATAGAACAAAAACAATTGCTTCTCTCAAATCAATGCTTCTTCAATAACATTCYTAATGAAGTGAACAGCATAAACTAAGCAATAGATGCACATATTAAAAAAAAAAAAAAGGTTAATACAGGATCCCTTCATGCCACTGCTCAAAATTCAAGTTTTGCTGAGCTCTGATAAAGCCTCAGACTGAATTTTTCATATACTCCTCCAAAAGTTCAGTCTGCAAAGATAGAAAAACTGAAATAGTGTCTCACAAGACAGACACATCCTGGTCTCATTTTAAGGTGTAACAACTGAAGTAGCTGAACTCTTCAGAGTTTCCCATCTCAAGGTGCTTTGGATAAACACTACATAAAGGTGCAAATAGTCAAACAGAACCTTACAACCTTTCCACCACAGTTTCATTGGGGTTTTGAACAATGTGCTTTCCAGTGTCATTACTAACTTTCACGAGACTTAGCTATAGTCCCATGCCCTGGACAGCAGAACCACAGTTCTTGGAAGAGCTCATTTTCAAGGTGAAAATGAAATGCTCCTTATAAAGTATACAGTAGGGATGTGTCCTAGGCTAATTATTCCTCAGCCTGTAACACATGCTCTTCTCTATACTGTCAACTCTCATTTCTGCTCCTGTCTTACATCCACAGCTCAGGGGTACTCACAGAAACCACACCTAGAGACTGAGACTACATYTAAACTCAGCATGAGAAGAAAAGTTCTTTTACCATTTTTTTCACTTTATCTAAAAAAGCAAGTGGGCACAAACCCATGTAGTAGAATTGCTTAGGGAAGAGGTGCATTTGCAGCTTTTGGCATAAATTTGGGTGGCACCGCAGTCCCTCCTCATAGAGATGGTTTTCTCTTCTACTGAAAGTACAAAAGTGATTTTGCAGCAAGGTTATTGCAATAGAGCCCTTACTGCTCTCCTGGTCCCTTATATCCCAATCACATTAAGCAATCTTGTCCTGTCTTGTGTCACCACATAAGCTCTTCCCTGAGTCTTTGCAGGCAGTTTCTGACGTGACCACAAACTGCCTGTCAGGCAGCAGCTTCCATCTGACCTAAAGACAAACCAGGTATCAGCAATATTTCATTTCTGAGCTTTATTTTGATAGTATTAGAAATTGTTTCAGTGGAACTTGGGGCTCAGTAGAACAGTTACTGGCACTGAGATGATCAGCAAAATGAAAAAGAAAAKTATTTTCTGACTGTGGACAGTATCACTTAATAATTTTAATTTTTAATACTTTTAGAGTAAAACAAGTGAAATAAAAATGTACAAATTACAGAGCAATATGACATTTTTCTGGGATTTTACTGTGGATTTTTTGTTCATCAATGTCAGTTTTCTTTCCTCCTCACCATATTCTTTGTGTTACTTATGTTGAAGTTTAGAAAAATTCTGTAATTTCAAATATAACATAAGAAAACAATAGCAGACAATTWAAAAACCTGAAGTTAGTAAACCAGTCACTCTGCTTCAGAAAACGAAAATTTTGACTGCATGGTTTATGAAAACTTTAGAGAAGAAGTGTCTTATTAACAGAATTAATATCACACTGTTTTGAAGACTTAAGTTCAGAGTATATATTGGTTTATGGAAGATATTCTAATATTATTTGTAGCTACATCTAGTTCAGACAGCAATATTTTGGATAGTTAATTATGCAAAGTCTCTAGAACTCAGTTTAAATGATGTAACAAATACACACAATGCATGACATAATGACATTTTATATTTTAACTAAAAGTTAAGAACTCATCTAAATTCTACAATTCCTATTCTGAATTTTTAGATTTCCATTTCTCTTTATCATTTTTAAGTCGAAGTCAGACTTTCTTCACCAGATATGAATCAATCTAATAAATCAAGTTCAGCTTCCTACTCTCTTTAGAGTAGGCAGCCACACTATCTTTTGAGCTTTAGACTTGAAAAAAAATCCAAAATTAATTAATACAGCAAAACTTCTAATAATTAGAATTGCAGCTGTAAAGTTCTACATTAGAAATTTTTACACACTCAAAGTGGAAAGCTCTTGCTCTAGTTGTAAGCAGAAGTCATCTTCTCAAGATTTAAATCACACCAAATTAAAATCAATGCAAGGGGTTCCAAATCACTTCACAAAGCTTTAAAATACCACCTCTGTCTTAAAACTTCATGCAGTTTTTGACTAAATGAGATTCTCCTCTTTCTATAATTTGGTTTAAAATCAGCAGGTTTCTTCTACAATAAATACAGCTCCTTCTTGATAACCTTAATTGTAGGGTAGGGATGTTTACATATTGTTACCTTCACATTGAATTTTTGCTCACAAATGCTGAATATGGATTAAACCAAAATTTAAACTGGAAAAAGAAAAAATTCTAAACGACTTCAAGCTACAGTGACTGCAGGCATCAACTTGCTCTTCACAGGGCTTATGTACCCAGAGTATTCCTCTTCCAAACCTCTTGCTTTTATTTTAATCATTCCTACAAATGTAGATACAGCTATAGCAAAAAATTAATTGCCTATGCTTTATTAAGTGAATCATGACTTAAAGCAGAACCCAACGAAAGCTTTCTGGATTATACTGGATCACAAAAGCTATAAACAATGCTACTGGTTTTATTATGGCTTGATGCAGACATGCTTCAGTATATTACAGACTCTCAATTTTAAAATGTAAATGGTACAGGATATTGATAAACCAATTAGCACTGATGCAAAGCAAATTCCTCTTTTATCTCAATTACAACATGACAACTTAATAGGTCAAGATAGTCTAACATCTGAGACAAGGGCAATTCAATAAAACAACTGCATCTTGATATGGTAATTAAGAGGAAATGTGAATCCATTACATTGTCTTGTGTATGCGCACATATGTAGGTGTTCTTTTTTATTTATTTAAGCATTTGATGCCCTCTTGCTGTTTTTATAGTGTAACAAATCCACATGAACACAGTTGAGCCCAGCTGATAAGTACCTAAAATATCGTAGTTTTAGSAGGCAAATTTTAAGGATGCAACTGTGCAGATAAATAATTCATGAAAAGCCCCTAAAAGATACACAATTGCAAGTTAATCTTTTCAAACACAGGACTTTTCTGTCTATAAATCTGCAAATGATTTAGATCTGGCTAAAAGAATTTATTAAAAGTTCAAATACCTTGAYACTGAACTGGTGCTTGCATATACTCTATTGGAAAATAAAACAAAATTACAAAGACCAGAGCAAAATAAAGAGGCTACAATTGGAAAAAAAAAATTGCCCGAATATGATGTTACTTACAAGTTAGATGTATCACAAGCTAGAAAAGAAATGGCACTCTTAGCATTGGCAAGAGTGAAGTGGAGCATACTGCAGCTTTTTGACAAACTAGGAGTTTTGGCAATTAGGACAAAGTGCTCTCATAAAGTCAAAGAAAGGTAGATGCTCTGTTTTATGTTTTGATCTTAATTTGATATACACACTGTAGGAGAAGTTGCACTTTTTAYCTTGGAACAATTTAAGAAAGTAAACAAAGCCAATGAGAGCCATATGGGAGCATAATATTCTGAATAAACTGTACATTAGCTGAGAGTACAAACAAAAACTTACCTCTATATTACCTCTGTATGTTTATTGTGAAAGACAAACATTATTGTACACTGCACTACAGCAGAATAAATTAATTTTTAACTTCAGATGCAGAATGTAACAACCTATGCAGTCAATACAAGAGAATATTGCCATGCTGAAAATACATCCTTCAGTTAACTAATTCCTTCAGCCTGTTAATGGCTTTGTAAGACAACTTATGGCAAAAAGTTTACCAACGTCTTTTAATCATCATCTCAGCAAAAGTCTACCATAGGACACAAGAACTGTAAACACAGAAAAAATGCTTCAAACCAACACAAAAATCAAACAAACCTGATTCCAAGATTCATTGCCTCAGCAGTTCCAATCATACTAATGGCCAAGAGCATGTTGTTGCAGATCTTTGCAGCCTGAAAACAGTGAAACCATCAATTAGTTTATGCATTTTCATAGACTGAACGTATAGGAATCAACTAGGCCCAGGACAAAAAGATCAAGTATGTTCTGGCAGCTTTCTTCTAGAGTAAATACAGATCTGTGTTAGGACAAAGTTAATGAAATTTGCTCTATGGCTCTTTCACAGATTAAAAAATATACTTTTTTTTTCTTAGTACAGTAACTCAGTTAGTACATATGCCATGTAGGGGTTCTTTGTTCTTCAGAACATCCAGTAAATCTAAATTCAGATTAAACAAAATAAAAATGTCTGTGCCCTAAGAAGTGTAATCTCAACAAGCCAGTGTTGAGAAACACCAGTCAGATTTTGGTGCTAAGTTACACAACATGATGAGCAAAAGTGCCATGAGGCTATATTGATAAACACAAGGTTAGAGACAAGTAATCAAGCAAACGAGTATGAAGATGTGATGATGATGAATATGATGAAAATTATCATGCATTTAGTTCTTTAGTAAAAGAGTAGGCATCAATAAATAAAAAGCCAGAAAAAAGAAAGATAGAGATAACTATCAGCCCTTCAGAATGTATTACCTGTCCGGTTCCAACCTCTCCACAGTAAACCACATTAGAACCCATGCATGTCAGCAACTCTTTGGCAGCATTAAATTCTTGTTCCACTCCACCAACCATGAAAGTAAGGTTTCCAGCTCGAGCAGCTCCAACACCTGAATCAAGACAACACTGGATTTAATAACATTATTAAAAATACCCAAAACTAAGGTAGTTTCTCTTACCAGTAAGGGTCTGATGACACAAAATTGATACTTCACTTTAGATGAACCTCTCAAATTCTATGTAAAAGTAAGCCTATATTCCCAGTAATCACAGGATCAGCAATGTAAATTCTCAGACAACTGATGGAGATAAAACCACCTTATCTTCCAGGCACATTAGCAGAGAAGTCATAAGCCTCACGTAAAGCTGGCAATGTAGTTTTYTACAATTTATACAGAGAAACAATCAACTTCCTTCAACTTTGCATTTCACAAAATTCACTGTATCTGAATTACAAAATAAAATTTCTCTTTTGTCAAACTACTCTTCACATACAACCATTAACAAACTACTGCTCAAAGTTAACTCTGCTTTTATCAGCCTCTCCAAATCTAGGCTAATTTCTATCACTGCTTCCTAATTTTGACATAATCGAACAGCTCAAAGACACAGGCATATAAACCCAAGTCTTCTGAATTTCTGCAGTTTATGATGTTTCCAATCTGAAACAAAGGTCTCCTTAATCTGAGAACCTTTAAATTAGTTCCCCATACATAAACTTAACTCATATACGATGATGCAATTCCTATGTAAAGACAATGTAAAAATTTTTCATACACATACACACACACACACACACACACACAGAGAGAATTCCCAGTTTCATTACTGTAGTCTGTCCTGTCTTTACCACAGTTCAGTAAGCACACACCACAGTTCTTTGATTATACAGTTTCTAAGCACAACACCAGCAAATTTTTCATGTGATATTTATTACCTCCACTCCACGAAAGAAGCCTAATTCTAATATGAATTACACTTAGGTCCCTAACCTCCTCATCCCCAGTATTTAATGGGTATAACTGCTAGGAAAATTTGGCCTAAACTGATGAACAAATCAGCTTCCTCACTAATTTTCACTCTGGCAAGAAGCATAGCCACTATAAATATTCTGTGCTATGCATCAAACATTGGCCGGTTGGGATGTACAGCTGCAGATAACCAACGACTTCCAAATTAAAYGTGCTCAATTATGTACAGGGCTCTGAAGTGCTGTACCACAGCTAAGGAAGTGGTGAGTTTTGGACTTTGTTTACAACATCAAGGACAGCTATACTGCAGCTTCTCACACTGAAGAATCTGACAATCTTTTTTGCTTTTTGACAAAAATTTCAATTGATACTCTGTCTATACAACAGCACTGTGTGGCTATGTCTACAAATGCCCCTTTCTGTGTCTCCCAAGTGTTTATTTTCCTCATCCTGCCTTTCAATATGTACCATCTTTTGAAGCCATTGAAGAATTTCAGACAAATTTGACAGATTGTAGTCTCACAAAGAGTAAATACCTACCAGTTACGCAAAAGCAGGCAACAGTAAAGATGCTCCCACTGATGACCTGCTCAGCCTATATTAGAGCTTAGAATCACAGGATTCCTGGGGTTGGAAGTGACTCCTAAAGAACATTCAGCCACCCTGCTGAAATCAGTATCCAGTAAATCTGTGTCTTTCTTGTGCTGCTAAGTACAGAGCATATAGAAAAGCTCAGACTTAGAGTTTTTAAAAACCAATCCATCTATATACAGAACTGTTGAGGTACTGAAATAATATATACAGTGGTGAAGAYCTTCCTGCCCAGAYTGAGAGACACCCAGTGTGCAGCCARTCCTTGATCTCACTTGAAYAAYTCCTCTCCAGGCAACTCACAGGAACTGGGCTAAGAGCAAAGCCCAKATTCAGAGCTAGCACAAACAGGTCATTGCTGTCTTTTTGGCTACCAGTTCACTACGTACATGACCGCAAAGATTGCTACATTAATAAACACAATGATTTTCATTCCATTCCTCTAGCTATTTTTATTCAAACCACATAATGGCCTTTACCACTAATCCTGTGATCTGACCTGCAGCAAATTAAGTAGACAATTTAAGTCAAAGCTTACAAACAAAATCCAGTACTATCCATCATAGGTCAATAGCCTTGTATCTAGATTACAGACTGCTAAATAGCTTCAGAGATTCATTTATTAGAGCAAAATTAATGCTGACAATAGTTTTCAGCTGGTTAATCTTCTGACAGCTGCACTCTCTCACTTGTTCAAACACATTTCAAGAAGCAAAAATAAATTAGTTAAGTAAAAAAAAAAGAGCAATTTGTTGTATAATGCAGAAGGCTTGGAAAATTCTTGTTTTAAAAACAAAAACCTATTTACTTCATCGTAGATTTTATCATCTAGGGTCCTTGCCAACTGTTATTTTACAGAATTAAACGAGCAACGCAGCAAATTTATAAGACTGGCAGTTAAAAAAAAATTGGCACAGAGTCTAGGAGTACAAGAACTGTAACTTCAGCTAAAAATAGAAATTTWAAAAAATCATTAYACAAGAATRCACAGCTTTATTTCACAATCACAGATTTCATACCGACAATACAGGCTAGTAAAGTATTACCAGCTTCGAACACTAAAGAGAGCAATGGAGATGCAGAGCAGCTAATGCAATCTAAATAAGCTAACTATTATTTTTCACATTTTGATTTTTTAAAAGAAGTCTTGCCACCAACAATAATGCTTTATCTACCACTGCTATGAAGATCAAGAATACTTTAGAATCTCTCCATTCTTTCTAAAATACAAAAAATCTCYCCAATCCTCAGGGAATAGTTTTCAGAAGAACTGTACCTATGATTAGCATCCATTAAGATTTCCTCCTCTGCTGCAAAGCAAGCCTGGCTGGAGCCCATGGCTGCAGTCTTATACTTCATTTCTCTAGGATGATAACCTGCACCTATGTGAAGAATCCTGCAAGGTCGTCACACCAGCAGATCCCACAGAGCAGATCAATTCCAAGTCCGTTGGTCACATGAGCATCTGAGTTTGTCCCAGAGATATAAACTGACAGGAACAGGACTGCAGAAAAATATTATATGAGATCTAGCTAGCTGAGGAGATAACCAAGATAATGATTCTGAGAAAAACAGGGTGAGAAGTTACAGAGTAGCACTGCAGCATGCAATATCCACTTGGAGATGGGTTTCACTCTTGGGTACTAGCAGGTTTTGGATGAAGATCTGAAAAACCACGTTTTTTTAATCAAAAGATGTACATAAAGATCTACACTTCAAAYCATTCTGTCACATCTAGCTGTGTTACTCGTGGAGCAAGCTCGATCCAGGTGCTTCTCATTCGATTGCCAATACATTGCTCAGAGAGGTTCCTAAGCTCGAAATTTTAGACAAAAGTAGGAATGGAGGCTAAGGAGACCTTACATGACAACAGCAACTGGTTGCAGCTACTCTGGAGCAGTCTGAAGATGACCTCAAGTTTTAGCATCCAGGCCTAGCAGCCTCATTTGATAAGATACCCTGCTTTTCCATACTCACTGTCCTGTGCTTATTTAAACAGCTTATTTCCAACATTTAATGTTGGAAAAAGTAATGAAATTTGTCACTGATGTTTCCAGTTCCAAAAAAGAAAGCCCCAAAAGCTCCATAGATACATCATTAAAAAGGCTCAGTTTCACTAAGTTTGCTTATTATTAAGAACAAAATTTGCTAGAAAAGAGATGTTAATATAAAGGTGTTACATGAAACTATCTGCTTTTGGTTTCAACCTTATTACATTTCTCTAAGAACAGAGGGCAAATGAGTTAAAAAGAAGTGACACTGTAAGGCTACGCATTACAGCACCATTTTAGTAATGCTGAAAACAGTAACACTGCTGAAAAGACAAGGCACCCAAGCATATCCCTGTGCCAAAATATTTAAACCACTGTAGCGCTGCACCTGCAGATAAAAAAATTCGTTGCTGACAAAGTTAAGAAYGAAACAATACTAATTGAGCTGTTTCAAATCTCCAAAGGACAAGCAGGAGATGAGGGCTGTAATATCAACACACATCAGCAAAAAAACCCTCTTTTATTTTTCTACTCAACATTTAGTTGCAATTTTAACAACTAATTTGTGATCTAGATTAAAAACAAGAAAAACAATGCTGCAGTTTTAATCCTCTCTCTTGTTTTATAATATTGCACCCTTCAGCCCTAAGAGTTGAGGCTTTGCCTGTTACCCTTTGGCAAGTGCAAGGGAACACTGCTCTTTTATTCTGATTTTTTTTYTGCAAAAATGCAGTTTAAGCGACTGTAGCTGCCTCAAACAAGCAGGTTCTTGTCATGTTTGCTCCCTCTCAGATAGGCTGAGCTTGAAAGACTGCATCTGTGTACCTTGTGTGTGTATTTTTAAGGACTAGGYAGATCTTTTTAAGTACCTGCCAGCTCACACCAAATACTTTGYGATTCAGAAAAAGTTAAACCAAGATACACAAGGAAAGATTAACTGAAAAGGTTACTATTGCTTTGCTACATATATAAATCTAAAACCAATTAAAAGGCATGTATAGGCAAAACCAGCCATAAATCTCTACTGGAAATAAAGGAATATTTAAGACCATACTATAAATTTAAAATAACCATGAAGAGGCTTGTTATTTTATAAAATATAAAGAGAGTATCAGTTTTTTTCTACTTGCTTCTTAGACAATGTCTGCCATCATCCATCTATTTCCAGGAAACAAGTAAATGGAACAGACTCAGAAAAAAAACTCCACTGCACACGACCACTCCAAGGGCTTGTGTTTCTCCCTATTATAAAAATCAGCATCAAAGCTAGACCTATGAAGCTATTCTGTTGCTGTATAACTAAAACACAGTAAATCACTTAATTTGCTCAAAAGAACTTAAATGTTTTAACCAGTCTGCCATCAGCAGAGATAAAGAAGAGGGCCGATGGGACCGGGCTGCAATGTGAGCCGTCTTTAAAATGCAATTGTTCTAATCATTTTCTACAGATGCAGCCTCACAAGGGGCTGCTGTCACAGGGACCATTTACGACTTGTTATGGTGTCTCTATTGTTTACCAGCGACATTCGCTAAAAAGGCGACAGCTGGGACAGAAAG